GAGCAGAAGGGGAAGCGTGCCCATCAGGAAAGCAGGCGAGTGTGTGCAGGGGCGCCTCGGAGGCAAGGACCCACAAGGGAGTGGAAACTGCAGGTTTGTCGAACTAGCCTGGAGTTTTGTACTCAAAAGATTTGGAGGAGACTATTTTAATTTTATTGCAGGTGGATTTTACGTCACTTTTGAAGGCTAAAATTAGGTTCTGAATCGTGAGTGGCAGGTTGGGGGTGTCGCGATCCTGCTGTGCACTCCACGATCCAGGGAACACAGGCGCAGCCGGGGGAGGCTGTGGTGTCGGCCACTGCAGCCGCAGTCTGGGCTCACCTGGCCAGAGCTGGCTGTGCCAGCAGCAGGGCTGCAAGAGAGGGTTGCCGGGGCACTTGATCAGGGGCCACTAGGGCCTCCGGGGTGCTGGCCCCGCTGGAGCCAGGTGCGCGGCCCTAGACCTCCCGGGGCGACTGTGGATTGAGAGGCCTGCGGGACATCTGAGTGACCCGTTCCATCGCTCCCATTATCCTGGGCATTCGTGCGGAGCATGGGGTGAAGGACAGTGGCCCTGCATCAGAGGGACACGGTACTGAGCCCTAAGTGCTCCAAGAGCTAGAGCTGGATGCAATGAGCAGCATGATACCAAAATAGCACTGAGGTTGGATGTGGGGTGCTCGCCTGTCACCTCCGCACTTGGGAGGCTGAGGCAGGGGGATTGCTGTGAGTTCCAGGCTGGCCTGAAATACGTAGCTGGACATTGTCTCAAAAATAACAAAGGAAAAAAATAGTATTGAATTATGACTGAACATGGAGAATAAGAGACAAACATCCCATGCCCAAGAATCGCTAGTGTCCACACCCTTAAGGGACCCTGCTAACGCCGGTCCTTAGGTACAGGGCTTGCGCACTGACTTCCTTCCAAAGAGGACAGTGTATGTAGGGGGGGGACAGCACTGACGAGCACTGTGCCCCACCAGGGTGGCGCCACTGGCGCTGAGTACCAGGGACCACTGTGCCCCATCCTGCGATGAGGACAGCCTTCTCCCAGAACCCCTGCAGGCCCACTGCACCCCGAGAGGCATGTCACAAGACCCCGTAGATGTGTCAGTTTGTGCCCCTCAACATTGTCATGGGTGCCCAAGCAAGGAAAGCCTGGGGGCTCACAGCCAGGTGGAGCCCACGGAGACAGGTGCAAGCGCCGCCGGGTGGCCTGGCTGGGGTGCTGCTGGGTCGGGGAGGGAAAAGCGGCACAGCGCTGACAGTGTGGAGCTTGGATCCACGGGCCGCGTGCGGGAACGCTTAGCACCGCTGTGCAATTTTGTGCTGTTTTTTACCACTCCACCACATGGTTTTTGAGCCCAGACCACAGGTGACAGGTTGGGGCAGGTGTCATGCAGAGCTGCTGCCTCTCCTGAACCTGCCCCCCAGTCCGAGGGACGCTTGGGTGCACTTGCGTAGTGTGGCGGTCACAGCATTTCCACCACCTGCGCAGACATGTGGTGGTGAGCACCGGCATATGTCATCAAGCAGTTGAGTGAGTTTCTTAGTTAATTGTTAAACTTGGGCTTTGGCATTATTTCTTATCATAGTAAGTTAAAATGTCCAAAAGGAAGTTCTGTTGTTTTATACATGAACTAATATAATCTAAAATGTTTTATATGTGATCTGAAATAATTTCTCTTCCCTCGGCCCAGGCCGGCTGAAATGTTGGCTACCCGCTGTTTAGACCAGGCGTGGCTAACCTCTGGCCCCCACGCTACTGCAGGCGCCTTGTGCCGTTGAAGGGTCTGAAAAGTTTGCCGTCGCTGGTGTAGATGACACTGATGTTACAGTGCTGGTGCCCCGTTGGGACAAAGGTACCACAGTAACGTCACCAGTTAGTAACAGGGGTACTGCGTGCAAGATAGTGAAGGACCCTGTGCTCTCTGCATTTGTTCTATAAATAAGAAATCACTTGAAAATAGGAAAGTTTGCTAAATATCTAGCCAGGTGCAGGGGCACATCACCATAGTCCCAGTTAGTCGGGAGACCAAGCAGGCAGATGGCAAGTTCAAGGCCCGACTGGGCAACTTAGTGAGACTCTTTCAAACAATGAGCAAATGAATGGATGGATGGATGGATGGACAGATGGATGGACGGACGGATGGATGGATGGATGGACGGACGGACGGACGGACGGACGGGTGGATGGATAGATGGATGGATGGATGGATGGATGGATGGATGGATGGACAGATGGATGGATGGATGGATGGATGGATGGATGGATGGATGGATGGATGGACTGAGGGATGGATGGACAGACGGATGGACGGACGGATGGATGGATGGACGGACGGACGGGTGGGTGGATGGATGGATGGGTGGGTGGATGGATGGATGGACGGACAGATGGATGGATGGATGGGTGGATGGATAGGTGGATGGATGGATGGATGGATGGATGGGTGGGTGGATGGATGGGCAGATGGCTGAATGCCTAAGGAGGCAGCTCAGTGGTAGAGCATTTGGCTAGCATGCATAGAAGTACGGTATGCAGTCAATCCATCTACCCATCCCTTGCATTCCACCGCTTACAACTGGCCGCCCCCTTGCCTTCTGCCCTTGTGTCTGTGCGTTTTCTGTTGACAAACTGCACTTTCTTACCTGAACACTTGTCCTGGGGAGGACACAGTACACTATCTTATAACTTCGTCTATGTAAACACATGGAAAATGTGGTGCTGCGTGATTTTCTGTCCCGTTCCCTTTTTGAGTACAGTCCCTGTCACTATGCACCCTTTGTGTATACCTCCGTACAACCTGGGACCTGGGAAGGCGATCTGAGAGGACACCCATCTGTCCCCAAGCAGGGAGCAAAGTCATCAGAGGAGTGGTTCCCCTGGGCCCCAGTTTCCTGGGAGAGGGAAAGGACAGTCGGCCGCTCACTTCAGGCAGGCTCCAGGGTGACTTGTCCTCTGGGGTGTGGCATGCATGGGAGGCCATTGTGGACAGTGTCCATGCTACTTGAAGGCCGTGGTCACTCTCAGCCTGGCCCTCCCCGTGCCTCACATGCACAGGCTGCAGGCCACGACCATGCCCCTCCTGACTGTCTGTGTGACCTTGGCAGTTTGCCTCGCCTGTCCATGGCTCAGCTCCCCCATCTAGCAAGCAGAGAGAATGGTGGAGAGTGAATGTCCCCCAGGGCTCCTTGGGGACAGTCCAGCTGTGTTCATCATCCTGTTCCCAGGATGCAGTGGGAGGGAGTGATGGTGTTTGCTTCATTTGACAAATAAACGGTCACAGAACTGTAAGTGACCTCAGCTGAGGTCATACAGGACAAGCGCACTGTCCTCCATTTGTTCCTGCATTTGTTCATTCATTCATTTATTCTCATTTAACCAACGTGGAGAACCCCAGCGTGTGGGAAGCACCGGGCCCAGCAGTGATGGGGCGGAGGAGGGGGTGATTCAGAGGTGGCCTATCCCAAGGTGGCAGTGCTGGCCTCGTGGAAGTGAGATGGGAGGAAGGCAGCAGCTGCTGCTATCACTAACCTGACCGCGTCGCAGGCAGGAGCTGGGCCAGTGGTGCTGGGCTCTGCCCCCTGGTGCCCTGTGCGGGCCCGCATTTTCACCTGACCCCAGCTTGCTGACTGTTGGGCTGTGGGGTGGTTACATTCCAGTGCCGGCATTTTCTGCTCCCTCAGAGCCCTTCCTGCCCTCTCTGTGAGGCCAGGGAAATCCCTGGGCAGCCTAGGGAAGCAAGAATTTGAAGTAGAGGCAAGTGGTATTGGCTGACAGCCCCCAGGATGGCCACAGTGAGTGCTGTGGTCCCCCAACCCTGCTGTGTGCTGGCACTCCAAGGCCAGGCCCATTGAACATCCCCAGGGAGGGCTCCAAGTGGCAGCGCACAGTGGAGCAGCCCGTTGGCCTCTTCACAGTGCCTCTGGCTAGCTTCAAAGCCAAAGGATTCCGCAGGTCACCCCCTGTGGGAGGACACCTGTCACTGGGAATGTGCTGCAGGGACGTGTGGTGTAGACACTGCAGATAGAGACATCAGTGTCCCCAGTCTGACCAGGCCACCAGAGCCTCAACCCAGGCAAGGCCATGGCCAACCACGCAGCTCCTGTCCTGTGCAGCCCTTGTCGTCTCTGCCACACCCGGGACAGTGTGATGCCGTGAACTGGCTGACCTCCCCACTCCACGAGGTCCCCCATGGCCAAGTGTGTCCTGTGGCCAGCCCTACACGGTGTGCGTGGGGCTGGGGAGCTGGTCCTACCACCGCCCAGAGGTGGAAAACATCAGGTTTCTGGATGGGAGCAGTGGTGGCTCCTGTGGGGGTCGGGGTCATCCGCACACCGCAACTTGCAGCACTGGTGAGGCCCAAGCACTCTGACTTAGATGTGCTCTCCACTGTCATTGTGCCGCTGTCTGTCTGGGTTTTCTCGTCCTTCCATGAAGACACTGGCTGCTGGGAGGGCTTCACCCCAAGATCTGTGGCCACATTGCCATAGACCCCATTTCTAGATAAGGTTGTGTTTCCAAATAAGGGAGGGAGGTGCGGATTCGCCTTTCTGGGGACACTGTCCAGCCCTCCGTGGGACACCCTAGAGCTCAGAACTCGGGTCCCTGCCTCTGCTCCATTCTTCCTTTCCCTTCTCAGGCCCTGAGTTCCCGGGCATCCCTGGGCCAGCATTGTCCTCTGTCTCAAGTGGCCCCTGTCCTCTCATCACCCCAGCCCACCCACTTTTGTCCTGTTTTGCCCTTGGGGCACAGATGGTCCCCAAGTCCCTGTTTCAGATGTGTGAGTGATGTGCCCACTGTCTCAGCTCCCCCAGAGCGGATCTTACCTTGGGACTTGGGTCAGGGTGCAGCCTCGGCCTCAACAGTGTGGGTGTTGGGACACCCCGTGAGGGAGTGAAGGATGACCGGTCAACCCTGAGCAGCCGGCCAGGTGGCAGCCGGCACCTCCTGGGGCACACCCTTCCCCAGCAGCCCTGGTGCCCATGGCCAGCCTCGTACCTGCTCTGTGTTTCAGATCATCCTGGTGAGCTCCTCGCTTGGTGACCGTGAGCAGAACCTCTTCCTGAGCACCGACGAGGGCGCCAGCTTCCAGAGGCAACCCATCCCCTTCCTCGCAGAGACCCTCCTCTTCCACCCCAAGGATGAGGACAAGGTCCTGGCCTACACCAAGGAGAGCAAGGTAGGAGGGCTCAGGCCCCCAGGGTGAGTGCCTGATCGGACAGGTGCCAGCATGGAAGCTGATTTGTCCGTCAAAGGGACTCAGCACCCTGGGCTGGCTCAGCGGTGGCCTTTCGGGGGCTGGGGACACGGGCTCTAGCTCACCTTCTCTTGGCCAGCAGTGTTGGCATCTGCAGTGTCCGTCTCCCCCGAGCCCTGCCCAGCTCGTGGAAGTGAGGCCCCGGGGAGACCGGCTAGGCAGTCACGGGTGCGGGTGGGGCCTCGTCCTCTCCTTTCTCACTCTGGCTGGAAGGACAGATGTCCTCCACGTCCAGAACATTGCACATGCCCTGCTCACATTGCCAGGCCTTGTCTCACCCAGATGCCAGGAACGCGGGTCATCTAGGGGCAGCTCAGCAGTCCCCACTATGAGCTGTGTCCCCCAGACCCTAAAGGAATCCAGGCACCTTCCCAAGGGCAAGCACCCTGCAGTGTGCAGCAGCCAGCGCCCCTCCGGTGGATGGGGGAGCACTGTCTGGTGCGTGGGGAGGGAGACCAAGCCCGGTGCTGAAAGCTGAGGCAGGAGGTGCCAGAGCCGGAGGACAGGCCTTCCTGCACTCCTGGGACACTCCACAAATGCATCCTCTTGACGTTCCAGAGGCCAGGAGTTGGAATCCGGTCTCCCTGGCCTGAAGTCAGGGGGCCGGCAGGCCCAGGACCCCTCCTCAGGCTCCAGGGAGAGCCGTCCTTTCCCTTCCAGGATCCAGCAGCCACTGCCTCCCCTGGCCATCTCCAGAGCAGCTCCTAGGTCCTCTGCCCCATCGTCTCAGCCCACTCTGTGCGCATGCAGGTGTGCGCAGGTGTGCACACCTGTGTGCCGTGTCTGTGCGTGAGCGTATGCGTGACATTTCCCCAGCCCCTCTAGTTTATGAGGATTCATGGGTTGCATATCGGCCCCACCTCCGCAGCCCCCAGAGATAACCTCCGCTGCCTCACTAACCCATCTGTAGGGTCCGTCTTTTGGCCCTGAAGGGTAATATCCTCGGCTCGAAGGACTTGACAGCGATCTTTGGGAGGACACTTTCAGCCCCCACTGTGCTCAGTCAGAGGCGTGGAAAAGGACAAGGAGGAGGCCTGGCCCTGGAAATGGTAACATGGCCCCTGCCAAATGGTGGCTGCACCGTCAGGGGCCAGGAGACATCCCAGCCCCCTCCACGCTCTAGGCTTTTGTTGGTGTTGTGCATGGGCTGAGAGAGGGAGTCTATAGACACACCAGCATGGTCAGTCCCCAGGTCCAGCGAGGGTACAGAGGGCCAGCAGGGTCTGCATGACAGATAGCAGCTGTCCAGTCAGCAGCCTTCCATTGACAACCCCAGGTTAGCATGGGTCCTTGGCCTCCTTCTGAGAAATAAGAGTAATCACATATTTGTGAAGCTGTTCTGTGAAACTGTACCCTTTGTGCATACTTGGGCTAAGCTCCTGTAGGGCAGGGACAGTGTCTGATCTTTTTCACCATTTTCATCTCGGTTGCCTGGCTGAAAATATATGCTGGCTGGCTGGCTGGTGGGATGGATGGATGGATGGATGAATGGATGGATGGATGGATAGTTGATGAGTGGTTGGGTGGATGGATTAGTGGATGTATGGATGTATGGATAAGTGGACGAATAGAAGGTAGACGGGTACGTGCATGGATGAATGGATGGATGGATGGATAGTTGATGAGTGGTTGGGTGGATGGATTAGTGGATGTATGGATGTATGGATAAGTGGACGAATAGAAGGTAGACGGGTACGTGCATGGATGAATGGATGGATGGATGGACTCAAGGACTGGGTTAATGAGTGCGTGGATAGACGGGCGTGTCCATAGGCAGGTATCGTGGTAGATGGCAGTGAGGACGGATGCAGGTGTGGGATTGGGGCAGAAGAGTATATAGATAGATGATGCATAAGTGGGAAGTGGGTGCATGACTGAGTGGATAGATAGATGGTGGCTGGTCAGATAAATTTATGGATGGATGGAGACAAATTTCTACCAGAAGTGACCAGCCAGGTTAGAGACCTCCAGATGGAGACCCCTGGCTGCTCTGGATCCCAGCTGCTGACAGGCCCTGACCGCCCTGCTGTGGTCTGCCTGCTGTCAGAATCTCTCCTTTCCCAGGCCTTGAGGGCTTTCTCTCCACTCCAAACACCTCCTTGGGGACAGCATGTGCTGCTGGGTATTAATAGCGCTACTTAGCTTTCCATGTAATTAGACCAAAGCACAATCATGGAGACTTATTTTCCTGCAGAAATTGACTGCATTGCAATTGCTCTTTAATTTATGGTGCTCTGAAAAATTAATGGAGCTGAAATCTTGGTTATTTTCCTTGGTTCTTTTTCTGTGTCTACAAGGAAAGAAAAAGGGGAGAAAAACACTTAGTTGTGGTTATAAAAGGAAAGAGCAATTTGGGGAAATTAATAAGAATGACAGTGGAGATTTAATTTGGGGAAAACTTCACAGTTTTTCAGAGCTCTCGAATTCCTAAGAAGCTGGGTGGAAAAAATGTCAGCTTTGGGCTTCAGAAAATCTGGTGTATTAGGCAGTGTCTGCTGCAGTGTGCCAAGTAACACATATCCCCAGGACTACTGTCTGGAGCAATATGCCCTGGTGTCAATCCTTGGTCCTCAGGGCAGGGCTGGATTGGCCGGAGGTGGCTCCTGGTGAGTGGGCTGCAGATCCATGACTCTCTCCTGGGGAATATGCTATTCCATGGCAGGGCTGAGGCCCTGGGGACAAAACAACTGCACCAGCAGCTTTAGATCATCAGCCTTGCCCTGCATGCACACGCATTGACCAAGGTGAGTCACACACCATGCCCAGCATCAAGTAGGTGACATCCGTGCCACTCACCAGGCTCTGCAGACTCATAGCTAGAGCCCTCCACTCCCACCCACCACTTCCTCCGCTCTGACACCTGCTGAGCTCTGCAGAGACCTTCTGCCCAGCCTTGGGCTTCCCACAGCCTCCTCTCAGTTCCTCTACCTGTGCTAGCACAATTTGGGACATTCTGACCCCTTATTCTGAGGTCTGGAAAGCTCTGAGGTGACAGCCCTTGTGATTCCCTACCAAGGACCAGCAAACTCAAGGGCCACCTGGGATCAGGAGCCTGCAAAGCCTGGCAGTCCATTCCCATATGGCCCTCTGTGGACAGCGGGCACAGCATGCACCAGCCTAGTTGCTCTGTCTTCTGGCAGAGTTGGGGTGCTACTTCTAAAACAGAACTGCTTTCCTATTTCCTTGAGCTTTGCTGTACTTTACTCTCCATCAAGACCCTCTTCTGCTTCCCAGAACTGTGAGACATTGGTCAGAGCCGGAGACTGCCTTCCAGAAGCAGAGGCATGAGTGTGCCTTTGGGTAGTGATCGGACAGCACTTCCTGGAAGAAACATGCTTGAGTAGGGGCCTAAAAGAATTGGTCACAGTGTATCACTGTCTAATACAACTTCAGAGACAGAGAGGTGATCACACAGGAAAAGGAAACCTCATAGTCCTGCCACCCTCAGCAAAGCAGTGTGTGCATGTATTCATGCCAAAGGAAAGGCTAATGGTGGTGCCGTGGCAATGGGTATGGGATGCCACCAGGCAAAGGGTCCCCATAGCGTGGGCTGTGAAACACAGACTTTGCATTGAGTGAATTTCTGGAGAGACCCCAAGCTTCAGTACCACATTTATAGCCCTCTCTAACCTCAGACTGCAGGACCAAGACAAGACAAGACTTCTCCTGAGAAACAGAACAATCTTGTGAGCGAGGAGAACCCTCAACTTCAGGATATGTTCATTCTAACTCTGGCCATTTGCATCCTTCAGGGAAAATGGATATTTAAGCAGGGATTGGCCTGCAGGATCTGGTGCTTTCCAAATTGTTAATAGAATTGGACTCCCAAGGCATCTCCCAGAGCCAGCCAGGCTCATCCACAAGGAGTGTCCAGCTCTGCCATCAGGAAGGTAGACACCAGGAGCCCACTTGGACTATCAAGGTCAAGGACTTGCAGCTGGGGTGAGATCCAGACAACTGAAGTTGCTACTGCTACAGCCCTCTTGGCCTGGCTAGAGATACTGGAATGCTGAGTCCAGCTGCTGTCTCCACACAAGCCCTTCTCATCTCTACACCCTGAGTTGTAGCAGATGCCTTTGGCCTGCTGGCTACCATAAATGCACCAAGAAGCAGGACAATGCCTCAGCTTACTTTGCCTTTCCTGAACTCCTGAGTGCAACCCTTGTACCAGGAATCTAGCTGCAAGGGAGTCCAAGCAGTTTGCACTTCCCAGCCTGAACAGAACAGCCTGGTGCCCTGAGCAAGCGGGGAGTGTGACAAGTGCCTCTGCCTTGTCACAGGCTACCTAGCTGCCACCTTGATGCCCAGGAAGAGCTGCAGCCCTGAGCACCCCTGAGCTGCACCCTGCTATGCTCTTCTGTATGCTCCTTTCCTCCGGCCCCACCTGCTGCCTAGTCTGGCCTATCCCCCTCCCCTTCTTATCAGGGTGCACACTCTAAGCACTCTCTCTGGTGCTTTCTAGGCCACACTCCTCCTGCTGTGTGTGCCTGTGTAGGTTTCAGCAGTGGTGACAGACAGGGGTCTCCCTGGTGTGTTTACTCTTATTTACCTGTTCTTGTCTGTCTCTTATTAAGCAGAAATTTTCTATTTCTGCAGCAATTGACAGTGGGCTGTAAAATCGCTTCCCATGGGACTACATAGGAAAGGCTCCATAAAGTCTGGGGACAGGCATCACAAATGCTAGCACATCAGTGATGACAAAGATAATGTCATCCATTCATGGAGAGGCTTTGTCACCAATCTTCCAAAACTAATGTGCAGCCTCTGTGTTATTCCCTGGCTGGCAGAAGGTTGTGCAGTGTGCTTCTGATTTCTGCATGAGTAAACTGAGACATGAGGCAGAAGGGGCCTGGCCCAGGTCACCAGATGACCCACAGAAGTGGCTAGAGGTGACCAGCCATCCTTCCCAGAGGAATCCTCGGCCCCTAATGGTGTGCTGAGTGCAGGTTAATGTGGAGAGAAGTCTGCTCTGAGCCAGCGCTGCGTGCCCGGGAGCAGCTCACTCACCTCTCCATCCTCAGTTCTTTTGTCACCTTATGGAGGCTCTGGGTGGGCGGAGCATGGGCACTCGCACATCTGTGCGCTAAGTGAAGCAGCCTTTGATGTGCTCAGTTCAGCACCTGGCCGCACCAAGCGCCACAGCTGTGGCCAGGTGCTCTCACTGATGGCCAATCGGGAACTTCTGGGCTCAGAACTGCTGCGTCCCGCAGGCACTTCCCAAGCACCCGCCTCATGCTGGGCCAGTCCAGGCTGGATGAGGAGAGTGCATCCCTTGCTCTTGTGGGGCTCATGTCCTGGGGAAGAGAGCTTTCTTACAAGTGCTTTTGAATAGTACAGATGAGAGTTTCTTGTCACGTTCCCCAAAGCAGGTGTCACACATAATGGCCTGGCCTCTATATTTGTAAAGTTTTATTGGCACATGCCCACGCCCATGTGCACATGCTGTGTGTGGTCTCTGCTGCTCCCTGCCCCTGGGGCAGGGTGCGCGGTTGCCGCAGAGCCCGGCCACTTACCCTCTGGCCCTTTGCAGAATAAGCTCACCCAGCCTGCCCTGGAGTCAGATGTGTTCATTCATTCAGAAAACACTCCAGGTGCACCAGCCAGCAGCCAGAGAGCTGTTGGCTCCATTGCAAGGCCAGCAGGTCGGGTGCCGGAGCGTGCAGAGAAACGAGCAGTTAATTCCACTCGTGGAAGCAGGCGTGATCCTCCTGCTCCATGTGCAGTGTCGGTATTTCTGGTGTCTGAGGACCCTGAGCTGATCGTTGCCTGACACAGAAGAGGGGCCACAGGGGTGGGATAGGTACAGCAGAGGGCAAGGCCCCTCCAGCTATGGTGGGATGACCCAGTGACTGGGTCAGGGAGAGGGAAGCGGTTTGTGGAACAGACAGGAAGGAGGAGGAGTTGTCAGCTGGGGGGATGTGCCTTGTCCTGGCCCTGACCCCCGCTGGGCACCTGGCAAGGCCTCAAACTACATCATGAGCTGGCACAAGGCTCCCAGGGAAGGCAGGGCCATCAGCCTACTCGGACCTCTTCTGTCCTAAAGCCATCAGCGCCCCCCTGGGCCCCTTCTGACCTGGTCTGACCCCATCATCTCCCAGAGGTCCCCAAGCCCCGTGAGCAAATTTGAGGATGAAGTCTCCAGCCTACAAACTTTTGCAATCACAGTGAGAGTGCAGCTGCAGCCACCCCCGAGGCACAGGCCCCCCATGCCCAGCCCCTGGGCGCCTGCTTCCCTGGGCCTGCCTGCTGCCAGCAGCCCTTTCATCCTGTCAGAGCCTGGGGACCTCATGCAGAGGGACATCACATGGGATTGTCTAGGCACCGGGAGGGCTAGAGGAGGAGCAGGTTTGTGGCTGCTGCCCTGGTTGGTGGGAAGGGCAGTGTGCGGCCAGACACCCATGTGGCCAAGACAGCTCCCGCCGCTCAGAACCCTGGGGCCTCCGCGGCGTCCCATGATGCTTAGCGCCAGGCCTCTCTTGGTGCTGTCCCTGGGGACGGTGTTGCCAAGGCACCAGGCTGTGCACCAGGCAGGGCACTGCACAAGAGCTCAGGGAAGGCAGTGCTTGTTCCTCCCTGTGGCAGTTCAGGGGGCAGGAGCGAGCACAGCGATGCGGCTCTGTGAGCTTGCTACAACCTGGAGCCTGCAAAAATGGCAGGCAGTGGATGCGGTGGTACTTGTATGTAATCTCAGCACGCAGAGGCTGAGGCAGGAGATCATTGTGAGTTCAAGACCAGCCTGGGCTACAAAGTGAGCTCAAGGCCAGCCTCAGCTGCTAGTAAGATACTGTCTCAAAAAGACCCCCCAAAACCCCCCACAAAAACCAGTGGGGAGCCTGTGTCTTCATGCCAGGCCTGAAGGAGGTCTGGGCACTCGCAGAGGGGCCTGGGGGTCTCACAGATAGGTACAGAGGCTCGGCCAGGCCCTGGGCTGAGTCTGGGGACCCTGTATGGCATCCTGGTTGCAAGGTGCCCCTGGGTTTCCTCACCTGCTTCAGAGAAGAAAGGGAAGGAACAGGTCATTTACCACTTCTGTGTCCCCTCTACTCCCAAGGGCCCCGTGTCTTGCAGCCGCAGTAGGTTTCTATGGAAACATGAAGTGATTGGGTATCCTGCTGACTAGGGTTGGGTGGTACAGAGGGGTCTCCTCCCTGTCCACTGCACAACCCCCACTCCCACAGCTGGCCTCTCCTGCGGGGGCATCCCAGGTCCCTCTCTGACTGTGTCAGCAGAGAGGGGCCTCATGTCCAGCTCAGCAAGGGGTGAAAGCAGCTCACAGGCATACCCTGTGGACCCAACAACTGGGCTCTGCAAAGGTCACTTCTGGAACAGGACATCCTGGCAGAGCCCCCGGCACACGCAGGGACCAGCTGTCCCTCCTTCACAGGACCTGGGCGCAGCCCCGAGGACACTTCCCTGCGCCCGCCCCTCCAGGGCCTTCCCGGTGGGCCTGTCACTGCCCTTCCTCATGTCCACGCCCCTGTGCCCACAGCTGGCCCCAAATCACCTCCCGGCTTTCCGTGCCCACCACGCGGCTGGGGTGAGCTGGGGTCCTCGTAGATCACTGCTCCTGCCTCAGCGGGGGTTTCAGGCAGAGACTCTGCATCACACCGGGGCCTGGTGTTAGGTGAAAAGTACCAGGATCCAGACAAACCTTTCCCTTTCTGCTCTGGACCCGTCACTGCGTTGGATCGGAACCGTTAATGGCCACACACGTGGGGCTCTGGGGCCCTTGTTGAGGAAGTGCGGACATTCAGGCCTGGGGGTGGGGCCAGCGCTGGCATGGGAAGGAGACAGCATCAAGGGCCCCCAGGATCGGCCCCGGAGTGGGTGTTCAGCAGGACCCCAAGGAGCCCCAGCACATGCCCTGTGGCTTCCCCCTCCTCTCCCTCCACTCTCCCACAGGTATTGTACTGTCCTTCCTGGCTCCAGGCCCCGGCACACCTCCCCTGGGAGGCCCCCCTGGGTTTCATCCTAGAGGCCCTTGACCTGCTCTGCCAGCCGACCTCTGGGGACAGGTTGCTGTGCATGGTGCCACCTCTTCAACATCAGCCCTTGGGGCTGGTCTCAGATTCCCTGTGAGTCTGTGGGCAAGACTGAGGCCCTGCGCCCCAGTCACAGCAGGAGGCCACTGTCTCAGCAGTGGCTCATTCCTGATGTCATTATAACCAGACTTTGTTTTTCTGCCCTGAAGCTCTATGTATCGTCTGACCTGGGGAAGAAGTGGACACTTCTGCAGGAACAAGTGACCAAAGACCACGTGTTCTGGTGAGGGCCCTCCCCTCCTCCGGCAAGTCTTTGGCCCAGGGGACCCAGTGGACTGGTGGCTCCAGGAGGGTGGCGTGGGGAACCCTGAGGGACCCAGGCCCTTGCGAGCCCCTGCCTGGGCCCTCGTTTCCCCCGGTAGAAGGAGGTGTGACATGCACTGGCTGTGGGCACAGGGCCTGCAGGAGTGGCCCTCTGCCCTAGGGCAGCCTTGGTCCCACTCACCTAGGTCCTGGGTTCCCTCTAGCCAGTGAAGCCTGTTCAGTCCTGCTGGGGCCAGTGAGGCAGGGCTAGCGAGGAAGAGGGGTTTGCCAGAGGCTTGAGCAGTGTTGCTGGTGGACAGGCACTGGCTGTGGCCCCACGCAGCAGAGCGGGAGCCGGGGCTAGGCGCGGGGAGCAGCCCCTCACCATCCCCAGGCGGGGCTGTGGCCTGCTGTCTGACTCAACCCTTTGGAGACATGCAGCTTCCCGCTGTTCTTCCCACGCCTCACTCCTCCCTGTGCTCACACCTGTGCACACACGTGTCCTGCATGTGCGCACACATGTGCTGTCCCATCTGCTCTCTTTCTCAGTTCCTAGGGCCTCACACCGTCACACCGGCCTCCATTCTCACCACAGTCCGTCCTGGTAGAGAAGCACGGCAGAAGCAGCCGCTGCCCCTTCTCTCACCCCACCCTTCACTGCGTGTTAACCTTGCAGACACTGGCCTCTTGCTTTGTCTCAGGGGCTGGGGAAGACTTTGTTAGCTCTCCCAGCTGGGACAAAGTACCCAGCACCCACAGCTTAAAGAAACAGAGGTTTTCTTGGCTTATAGTCCCAGAGGGTTCAGTCCATAGACACTGGCTCCGAGCAGAAGCGGCGTGCTGGAGGGCCCCAAGGAGAGCTGTTCCTGTCATAGCAGCTGGGAAGCAGAGGAGGATTAGAACTCCCCCTTCCAGATCACACCCGGGGACCCCCCCAGCCAGGCCCCCCTGTGCCCAGTCAGCCATGAGCTCGTTCATGGATAGCCTCCCTGGGCCCACACCCCAGATCCTGCCACCTCCCAAGGCGCTGCCTCTGCACACACGAGAAGTTCGAGGGGCTCTAGGCCTGAACCGTGGCGTCTCTGCTCTGGGCCCTGACTCCTGGCTTCTGTGCCCCTGCTCCCAGGGAGAACTGTGGTTGTGTCTCCGAGGCTGTCTGTGGGAGGGCCCAGGTCCTTCCTTGGCCCAGAGCGCCACCACCAATCAGTGGCTTTGTCACAACTGTTAAGAGAGGGAGCAGCCTGGTGAGGGGACCTCTGGGCCCTGAGGCTCCCAGGCAGTGGAGACCAGGGGCGGGAAGTGGTGTTGCTGAGCCTCACGGCCCCAGGGAACAAAGCCCCGTGGTGCTGCAACAGTCCCAGGTCTGGCTGCCCAGCAGAGACTGCTCCGGCCAGAGAGCGAAGGCAGTACCCGGCGCTGCGAGGGAAATTGGCGATAATTCAAACATGCTATTATCTCCAGCAAATCAAATCATTTCTTCCCTCAAGTTTCCCCAGCGCACAAGTTGTTATGCGTGAGAGGTAATCACGCTGCGCTTGGCCGCTTGGCCGCAGGGTCTTCCCAGAATGTGGTGACAGCCGGTGACGGTGACGGGGCCCCATGGCAGGCAGTGAATAATGCTGTTTTGACAGCTTTTCCGAGGAGCTCTTTGTCCTTGGACTGACAGCAGGAATTGCCAGGCCCACGTTAGGTCTCAAACCAGACTTGTTAGGCTGTGCAGCAGGCAGGCTCACTCGGGCGCCTCACCGGGTACCCAGGCCGTCACCTTCCGCATCCGCATCCTCCCACCCCCCCACTCCTGCAGCCCCATATAAAAGCCCAGTAGCTGCCTGCTTTGCACATTGACTGCTTGCAGGCACTGGGCTGTGGTGCCCAGCGTCTCTGGAATCCCACGGCAGCCCAGTGTTTTCCGGTCCTGTGACAGAGTGGAAAGGAGGCTCAGGGAGGCAGGGCCCTCGTCCCCAGTTGTGCTGCCCCCAAGCAGCACCCCAGCCGTGGCCCCCATCTAACTGGGTACAAGGAGACTCCGTCTGTGGGAGGAGGAAGTGGAGTGGGACAGGTTGGCCCCGTGGCCTGGGCCATGGCACCCTTGAGGGCCCCCAGGGCCCTGTGTATCAGGAGCAGGAGCCAGGGCTTTTCTTTCCCAGGGCTTCAGGTGCCCACCCCAGGGCTGGGGACCTCAGCAGACACGAAAGCCTCCAGCCAAGGCTGGTTTCCTGCAGGGCTCTGGGCTCTGGGCTGCTCCAGGCAAGTTGCATGTGGTCCTCAGAGGACCGAGGATCTCTGGGCAGGGACTCACAGCCACTGAATGAGCCAGTGGATGTGCGGGTGACTGGGCGAGGAAGCAAGCGGGCGGTGAGCAAGCGGAGGAGTGAGCAAGTGAGTGCGTGACTGAGGGAGGAGGAGCCCACGACGCGCCGGGCACCAGCTCCCCGCTGGCAGAGGGTCACTGCGGCACAGCCCTGTTTGCCTGCTGGAGTCTGACCCTCTGCAGAAGGAGCAGTGTGGCCCTGGAGGAGCTCCTGGAGCCAAGCTGCTGGCTCCCATGCCCACCCCAGAGCAGAGCACTCTTGCCCAGGACCGGCATGGTGGGCACCGGTGCTCAGTCTCTGATATCCTTGAGCTCCAGGGCATTCCTCAGCCTGCCCACCCCTCCATACCTGCATCCCCACGGGGGCTCATGGGTACTGGGGGGCAGATGGGACCGGCACCAGCATGGTGGGGACTGAAGGGGCTAGCTCTGTCCCTGTGGTGCCATCAGCCATGGGGATGGCATGCCTCTGTCCTCAGTGCCGTGTGACCAGTGGCGGCAGTGGAGTGGCTCAGCTTGCTCCTGGTGGGGGCCCTGAAATGCTGGGTATAATCAGCGGTTGGCAGATGTCACCCTGGCAAGGACACAAGGTACAGCAAGTGGAGCTAGCTCCTGAAACCTGGGGCTTCGGGAGTGTCCTGGCCAGTAGGAGGCTGCGCCACCTGGCAGACAGGTGGCATCCCGTCACACATGGTCCAGGGAAAGTGGGCAGGAGTTCGCAAGGTATCAGGGCGGCCATCCAGTTCCCACAGTCTTCACACCCCTCCAAGGCTGTCCCCAAACCCAGGGGCTGAGAGGGGCGCTGACAGGGAGGGTGGGCTCCGTCCCATGGGGGCATCCTGGGACCACCCTACTGTGCAGCGTCCACCTCTGTGCTGTGAGCAGGGTCAGCAGTGCAGCCAGGTAGACCTAGGTGAGCTCTGGGCACATCACAGCGCCCCTTGGCTTCCGGCAGGGCAGAAGGGCTCCCCTGTGAGGTGCACGTCCCACCTGCCTGCCACGCACCATCCAACCTGGGCATGGGCAGAGCCTGATACAGACTAGCGGGCAAAGATGGGGGTGTGCAGCCGCAGCAGAGGCTTGAGCTCAGTGAGGGGCTGGGCAGCTCTGGGGGGACGCCCTTGGGGAGGGGTCGGCAACAGCGCAGAACCCTTATGTGTGCCCTGGGGTATGGGGTGGGGGACAGCTCAAAGCAGGACCAGCTGGAACCCAGGACCTGGCAGGGCATGTGGCCTGGGGCAGTTGCTTTGCTCCTCTGGGTTCCTCTGTCTGCAATATTCAGGCAGTGCCCAGGCTGCCCAGCTTCGGAGACAAGTGGGGAAGCAGCTGCCCACCCCTGGGCTCCAGGGAGGCTGTGTCCTTGGCACCCACAGAGCAAGACCCTGGGTACCGGAGCCCTGGGGTGTGGGGGATCCAGTGTGCAAGGCCTTGGCAACCTGCAAGCCCCCCGTGGTCTGCTGCCCACACCGACCTCTGCCTCTGTTCCAGGGCAGTGTCTGGGGTGGACGCTGACCCCGACCTGGTCCACATGGAGGCCCAGGACCCCAGTGGAGGTAAGTGGGGGGTGCAGGTGTCCCCGTGTGTCCTGGCCCCTGCTGTGGCTCTGCTGTGCCCTTGATCCCCTCTTGTCCTCAGCACTGGCCCAGCACAGTGACCTCGCTGTGTTATGATGTGGTATAATTTTAAATGTGCTTGCTCCCCGCTGGGGATAAATTCAAGTCAAGGAGCTCCACTCCAGTGGAAAACTCTATTAAGAGGGCAATTTGTTCCGGATCCCGAGCACAGGCCTCCCCTGCCCACCAGCCCTGTGGGCTGCCAAGCCCTGAGACAGTGGGGGGGGCCCTGGCTTCCCCTCAGGTGGTGGGGAGCTGTGTGCACCTGACAGGGAGGGCTCTCTGTGGCCCTGCGCGGGGGAAGTGGGGTGTGCTACAGCCATGGGAGGTTCTGGAGCATTCAAATTACGAGGACTGCAGATTACACCTCCATTGTGCAGTATTCTGGAAGGCCCTTGAGGCAGAGTCCTGTGCTGTCACAGTGGGGAGCCCTGCTCTGGTGGTACAGACGCAGCTGCAGGACCAGGTGGTGGTAGGGCCCCAGTGAGACCGAGGGCGCGAGCCTTGGTCTCCCCATCTGTGAAGTGGGGAGAAGAAAAGCTGTCAGCCTGGCAGGTGTCATCAGAGCACCCATCTTGGCAACCTGGAGAATGTCTAGTGGCCTGGGTCACTTGGTTTCAGGACGGCTGGCCCTGTGCCTGCTGTGCCCCTCACCCACCTCTAGGATGGCCACCATATCTAAATGTCTCAGGTGCCTGAGGATAGCATGTGGCTCTAGACAGCAGCAGGTGCTTGGGACCATGCCACCCCAGCCAGCCACCAGGAAGAAGGGGCGTGCAGCTCTCACCAAGGGCCACCCACCTGCTTTCAGTGGCCCTAGCCTGGGGAGTGAGGTGTGGGCACAATGGTGGTGAGTGTCCTCAGTTCCCACAAGCAAAATGACCCACATGAGATGACCAAAAGGTGCTCCCTGCCCTCCTCACCGCCGGGATCCACTGGCCTCCTCTCTGCCTGCTCAGAGCCTTCAAGCAGGCAGCAATCACAGAGCAGAGGGGCCATGCCTTCCACCTGCCTCTGTCTATCTGTCCAGCCACAGTGAGTGAGGACAGTGGGACCTTGATGATGCAGGAAGCATGGACAGCCGGACAGATGGATGGGCAGACGGAGGGGTGAATGGGCCCACGTGTTCAGGAAAGATGGGGGAGGGAGTGAATGAGTGAGTGAGTGAGTGAGTGAGTGAGGAATGTGTGGGTGAGTAAGAGGAAAATGAGAATGAATGAGTGACTGACTGTATTGATGGATGATGGATAGATGGATGATGGATGGATAGATAGGTGGGTGGATGGATGAGTGGGTGGGTGGATGGATGAGTGAGTGGATTGATGATGGATGGATGGGTGGATGGATGGATGGATGGATGGGTGGAAGGAAGGATGGATGGATTGGTGGGTGGATGGGTAGGTGGGAGGATGGATAGGTGGGTGGATGGGTGGATGGATGGATAGATGGATGGATGGATGGATGGATAGACTGGTGGATGGATGGCTGGGTGGATGGATGGATGCGTGGGTGGGTGAATGGGTAGATGGATGGATAGATTGGTGTATGGATGGATGGGTGGAAGGATGAATGGATGGATGGATGGGTGGGTGGGTGGATGGATGAGTGGGTGGGTGGATGGATGAATGGGTGGGTGGATGGATGATGGATGGATGGGTGGGTGGGTGGATGGATGAGTGGGTGGGTGGATGGATGATGGATGGATGGATGGGTGGGTGGATGGATGAGTGGGTGGGTGGATGGATGATGGATGGATGGATGGGTGGGTGGGTAGATGGGTGGATCGATAAATGGGTGTGTGGGTGTGTGGATGGATAAGTGGGTAGATGGATGAGTTGGTGGGTGGATGGATGAGTGGATGGATGGATGGATGGATGGGTAGAAGGATGGATGACTGACTGTGAGTGACAATGACTGATTTATAGCACCCCAAACCTGGCTCCAAGCCCCTCTTCCCAGAACAAAACTTTCTTGGGAAGCTCCCCTGGCTCAGAAGCTGTGCAGGGAAGGGATGTGGCAGAGGGACTTGGTGGCACCCAACCCTGCACCTGGTCCAGCTCTACCCCATCCCTGAGCTGTACTGCTGTGGGGCTGTAGAAGGGCTCCTGGTCCATGGAGGGTCTGAGGCTGAGCACTGTGGTGGAGGTGCGTGTAGCTTAGGGACCGAGGACCTGTTCCTGCCACCTGCACCCCCAGGCCCCTTACACTCCCTGCACAGCGCTGCCTCTGGCCTGTGGTACATTCCCCAGTCCAGGGCCACACTGTGGACCCAGCACAGGCTTTCCCAGGCTCCACGTGGTCCCCACTCCAACTGGCAAGGAGTGCAAGGCTCAGCCTCCACGTAAACTCAGGGCAACACCAGAACAGTTGGCGGTGGCCTAGCAAAGTGAGTGCTCATTTGCTGGACCGTAAATGTGACAAAGGGGGATGAGGACATGGGGCCACCTGCTGGGGTCACCTGTCTGGCCCACTTGGGGGCTGGAGCCTGCAGAAGGGCAGGCTCTGTGGGTAGGCTCTGTGAAGAGCCCACATCTCACCGACCCTTCCTTCTGGGAGAAGTGCTGGTCCCCGGCTTTGAGCCTCCCCAGGGGTTCAAAGCTTCCTCCCTGGCATGGTCCCCATCCCTAGGCAGGCAACAGGAGTAACCGGGCCAAGTTCCTTACACCCATACCCACACACCGACCCCAGGATGGAGGGCCTGGACTCAGCCGGGTGGCCCCCATGGCTCCTTGCCACCATCTTCCAGGGCGAGACCCGGTGCCGCCATCCCACGCAGTGTGGCCTACACTGTCCCCACAGGCTTTCGCTATGTTACCTGTCAGATCCACAACTGCTCCGACAGGCCGCTCACAGCTCCATTCTCTGGCCCCGCTGACCGTGGCTCGCTGACTGTGCAGGATGATTACATCTTCCTCAAGGTGAGCCTGCCGACAGCAGCGTGGCCTCTGAGCCACCCTGGAAATGGAGCCACTCGGGGAGGGGGCCATAAATTGGCTGCTTTATCGTCAAGCGTCCCTCGGCTGGTTGAGGCCACCCACCACACGCGCAGCCCCGCGGACTCCCAGGGTCCCAGACTCCAGAACACACCAGGGACACTTCTGGCCGCCTGGGACCCTCCCCACCCTGGGGCCCAGCCCAAAGCCCTGTCACCTCCTGTGATTCCCCAGGTGGTACCTATCAGGCATATCTCTGGTTCTGGCTGCCACCCACAACCTGTGACTAGTGACAGGACCCTGCTCCCAGGTCCAAGCCTCACTCTGGGCTCCACCTTGGCAAAACTGGGTACAGCCAGTTCCGTCCTACTGATGGGGAGCTCAGCCCCACATCCCAGAGGCCTTTGTGCCTTGGGCTGGAGGCTGCCCTGGAGAGAAGCTCACCTCCCTTAGAAAGCCCAACAGGGCGCCCCCATGGCACCTCTAGCCCCCCATACCCCCCGCTTCTCCCACCCTGCTGGCCTTGCCCCTCCAGGCCCCTTCCTCTCCCCCTTGGGCCCTGTGCCCTCTGGGGCACAGCCGGCCCCACATCACCCCCCTCCCCTGCTCCTCTGCTCCTGAGCCAGCCCCCACACCCCAGCCGTACATACCACCTACGTGGGTTTCGGACTGTGTGACCATCTGTCCTGTCCCCAGCTGGGGTGTCACTGGGCTCCTGGGCTCCAGAGCCTGGTTACAAGGGTAAGAAAGGTCTGCTACAGGGGGAGGAGCTCAGGGGGCAGGTGTGACTTGGAGCCACCAAGATGGGCTGAGTCCCATGAAGGAGGGACCAGAGTGGGTGGCTGCCACGGACACAGGGAGGACAGCAGTGGCCAGGGCAGGGTCTGGAGGATGACTGCCACATTCCCTGGAGCTCATGTTCGATGACACCATCTGTGTTGGGTAGGGGGCTCTGGGGGTTGCCCTCAGTCCCAGTACCCCAAGCTCTGCTGGACGGGGCTGCCCTGCAGGGCCGCTGTGCTCCACCCCCAGTCTGTGTGGTAGGTGCTGGTCACACGAATGGGCTTGATGGCTCCTGTGCCATTTGTCATACATGGGGTCTGGAGGCCTCTTTCTGTGATGTGGAGTTGTCGGTGGCTATCTCCTCCCCACTCAGTGGCAGAACAACCTACTCTTTTTAAGACAAGTTTGGGAAAGGGAACTTTCTCCCCCTTGTTGTACAATGCAGATATAGGGAAAGCAGATGCTGAGAAGCATGGGAAAAAAGGTTAGTTCTAGTGTCCCAGAGGAGGGGCCTTTGGTATGGGGTTTTCAAGGATGAATAGGAGTCTGTCCGTTTGGGGCAGAATAAGTACAAGCAAAGTAGAAGGGCATTTTCACCAGCTGAACATAACGTAGTTTTCATTCATGAGAGTCTGACTCGAGAAGAAAGCAATCCCCTTAAAAATGTTTTTCTCCTGCTAGGCAACCTCAACAAATCGGACTAGATACTATGTCTCTTACCGTCGCAGTGACTTCACCCTGATGAAGCTGCCCAAGTACGCACTGCCAAAGGTGAGAGCGTCCCCACCCGCGCCCTGCGGTCTCATCCTGAGCTGCTCTGACTTGTGGGCAGTACTAAGGGGTTGCAGGGGCCAGGGCCGTAGGTCGGGACAGCCAGGAATAGCTGCCACCACAGCGTCCTCTGTTCTCACGGCCTCTCCTCCTGCAGGGCCAGGGTGGCGTCTGGGCCCTCAATATCCTAAACAAAGGCCCGACACACCAGAGGGCAGCAGGAAGGGTGATTCTCTTGGATAGGATCTGCGCCCTGGGAGGGGGCCGGGAGGGTAGTGCGCAACCCCAGGGGTTTGGGGCAGAGGGCTTCGCACCTCAGAATCGGGGTGGCGTTGAGAGTTTGGTCTGAGCTTCAGCTCTGGCGGCTGGTGAGCGGTCCTAAGGCCCAGGCCCCCACTCTCCCCGTCTTCCTCTCCTTCCCGGAGCCCAGGCTTGGGGGAACCCCCATCTCTGATTCTCTCTCTCGGTCTTGTCTGCTATGGGGCGGGGCTCTGTTTTGATACCCTGTGCATTCCAGCCCCTGGCACGCGGCCTGGCCCACTGCTGCGTCCCCCTTCCCCGGGCCAGCACATGGCCCCTGCTCTTCTGTGTTCCTTGGTTATAGAGCAGTGGCTGGGCTCAGAGATGCCAAGTGGCCTGGGGCTGCCACCCGGCCAGGCAGAGACCAGGGCTGAGCGCAGGCCCCATGCTGGTGGCCCCCGTCTCCCCCAGGGGTCCCGGCCCTGTGCAGAGTCAGCAGAGACTCCACAGATGGGAGAGGAGCAGGGCTGCGAGGGCGGCAGGCCAGAGCCTCCGGCTCCTGCTGTGGGGCTCAGCCAGGGGCCGGACAGCAGTGAGGAGACGGACCTGCATGTGAGGTCATCCCCCGAGAGGCCCACATGGATGCACCGTGCGTGTGTGCATGCATTCCATATGTGTGTGTGTATGTGTGCACATGTGTGTGTCCACAGCTGATTTAAGGCAGGTGACCAGAGAAGGACCCTCCGATCTGGGCCCCTGCCCAGGTTGGGGAGGACAGTGCTGAGCAGAAGCCCTGGGGCAGAGAACTGGGAGGACAGGCCACAGGGTGCGGGTTGTCACATCCTGGGGCTCCAGGGCTGGTGCCAGGGCAGAGACCCCCACTGAGCCAGAAAGGAGGACAGTCAAGAGCCCCTTGATGAACATCTCTTTGGAGAATAAAGGGAAGGAATGGGTATAAGGGAGGAGCTCCAGGCAAGGCTGGGGGCAGATTAAGGCTGACAGCTTCACTTCAGGCAGTGACCCTGCATGTCCTCAGGGGCGAGGGATGTCAGTCCTCCTGTCAAAGGCTTTTCCTGGCCGGGACAGACCCACCCTGCTCCCCACTGTCCCCACTGGCACAGGGAGCTCCGAGGAGCAGCGGCTGAGGTCACGACCCCTGTGACCTTGAGCAGGACTCTGTCCCTGGAGCCAGAGGACACTGATGCTGCCACCTGGGGAGCCGGCGTTCCCCTTCCACGCGTGCAGCGTGGGCTGATTGAATTTCCTAGTCAGATTCGGTTGTTTATGGTGAATTTGTGCCCTGGCCTATTTGTTCCTCACAAATCTGTAGCTCTTGCCTATTTGCTCCTGTCTTTTTTCCTTTGATCTTTTTTTGTTTCTTAATTGCTGGTTCACATCTGGAAACCAGGGTGACTGCAACAGCAGGGACCCCGCTGCTGCCCCAGCCTCAGCCCGGGCCACAACCTGCCTGTGTGACTTTAGGTCACCGACATCTTAGTAGGTACCCCTACGGCTCCCACATGGCCCATGTCACAGGACACCCTCCAGAGGGGGCTGAGAGGTCCAGCCAGTGACAGCAGAGCTCCCGGTGGCAGAGGGGACAAGCGGGCTACGGAGCCAGGCTCAGTTGGGCCCTTGGGACAGGTCTGCGTGGGTGTGTGTGTGCCTGCTGCGGTGCTGCTTCCCGGGCTGCAGTCCCGGGACACTGGGCACGGCGCCTGGCTCTCCAAAAGCTGAGGCGGGCCGCTGCGGCTCTGCCGCGCTCCGCGCTCTACCTTGTTTCCCCAGTTCCTTCTGCACTGGCCCAATCTACCCTCCACCAGCGTTAAGAGCAAGCAGCTATTGTGTGTCCAAACCTTTGCTTCAAGTCGCTCACTCACCATAGTATTTTTTAACATACAAAAAACAAAACAAAACAAAAACACCCAACTTCCCTAATAGAGAAAAAAGTTACCCAAGTGTAGGAACGAGGAGAAAAATTCAAGTAACTATGAATCATGTGAAAAGCATCGATGACGAGAAGTGCAATTTCGCTTTGGAGTAAAATATCCCTGTGTTTGTAATAAATTTACTCAGAGTACAAATAAGATCCGCACCACCGGGGAGGGTGGAGGGTGCAAGGCCTGGCGAGGACAGCGCAGGGAGCCCAGAGCGAGGGCCCCGGCTCCGCTGTGGCGTGGCTCTGTTGAGGCCTGCGCGTCCACTTCTGCTCCTGTGTAGGCAGGGACAGGGCAGCACAGCGCACTTCCAGGACTTGGGCTCGCAGCGGCCTGCCCTGTCCTTGCCTCGGGCAGGCGCTCGGGTGGGGCTCCTGCGCCAAGACCTGGCCCCAGGCTGACCGGCCCTGTGCCGAGCCATGTCTGAAGCTGGTTCCAGGGCCTTCCAGGGCCACGGCCTGTCCCCTCCCTTTAGCCCATTTCCCCTTTCTGAAGGGAGCTACTGAAGGACATCCAGAGGCAGCCGCGTGTTTGGGGGGAATCTAGAAGGCCACATGCCTTCCCTGAGGAGAAGCCAGGAAAAATTTTATTTCCTTTCTTACTTAAAAAAAAAAAAAAAAAGGACAGAAAGTGCAATTTAAAAAAAAATTCCATAGACTTTATAAATCTCTGATCAGGAAAGATTTTATTTATTTGTTTATTTATTTTGCAGCACTAGGGACTGAACCCAGGGTATGAACACTGAGCTACACACACAGCCATTTTTGTATTTTGAGGCAGGGTGTCCCTAAGTCACTAAGTTGGCCAAGATGGGCTCAAACTTGAGGTCCCCCAACATGCTGAGGTAACAGGTGTGCCGCTACTTCTGACTCTGCTCAGCAAGACTTTAAAGGTCCCACCCGGATTGTGGAGACGTGAAGGAAAGCAGCGCTGGCCGGCGGCAGGGAGGGATTAGTGCTGACTCTCAAGGCAGCAACAGAGCAGCAGGCGAGAAGCGCTCTAAAGAGGCTCCAGTGAGGCAGGTCCGCTTCTCAGAATGCATGTGGAGGAGCTAGCGCGGGGCAGGAGTCTCAGTCCAGGAACCAGCTCACAGGTGGGGCCAGGCTGCAGGGTACCTGCAGGGAAACCATCCCGTGGAAGAGTGGGCCACGCGCCTCTTGTCACGCAGCCATGAGCGTGGCACGGATAAATAATTTTCATGGCAGGGAAAATGCTCGCTGTATAGAGCAAATGGGCAGGCTGTGACCCTGCCGGGGAACAGAGCATGAGTCACATGTAGGACGAGGCCTAAACGTACACCGTCATAAATGTTAATGTCGGGTCTCTCTGGAGTCCCCTACACATCTGTCTCAGGGCCCAGATTACAGAGGCCTTTGCCCGGGGCAGAGCCCCCGTTGTGCATGCGATTGCCAGGTGCCGTCCAGGCACAGGTGAGCTGTACGTGGTGAGCCTGCCTGCGCTGGGAATGCGGAGCCTTGCAGAGCCCCGGCTGCCCCTGCAGGTACAAAACAGGATCATTTCTTGACCCTGGGGCCTGGGGGCCGTGCTGAGGCTGGCTCAGGGCTGAGACCAGCACAGTGCCAGGACCCGAGGTTTCGTGTCAGGAGTGGGGAGCGGAGGCGGCAGACAGGAGCAGCAGCTCCCAGTATCCAGCTGTTCCACCTCCTGGGGGGACGCCTGGCCCTGTGCCCTTCTTGGGCCTTCCTGCCCTAACTGGGTTCCAGATTTGCTGGGTGTAGTGTCGGTGCTGCATAGTGTCCCATTCCTTTCCCCAAAAGCCTCTTAGGACTGCACAGCAGTAGAACAGCTGGGCGGGACACACAGGACCCTGAACTCAGCCCAGAGTCCCTGCTCCGGCCACAGCACAGGCTGGACTCTGCTTTTCACAACTGCCAGCTGGGTCCCCCTTCTGATTGGGATGCGTGAGACAGGCAGTGGAGGTGTGGGGTGATTGAGGATAGCAAAAGTGTCTGGGAAGGTGTCCAGGCCCCTTCCCCGGTGCCCATAGTCTTTGGCGCTGGCTGGGAGAGAGGGGATGAGAGACCAAACTTGTCTGGCTCTCTTTGTTTTT